GGGTGGGGAGGACAGGGCCCCAGGAGCCCAGAGGTGAGTGCTGGAGCCCTGAGGTCCGGGCCTGGGCTCTGCTCTCTCGGCCCTGCAGCCACTCTCCCCTGCCCCAGGCTGGCTCCATGCCATCCCCACTGTACTTCTGTGCAGCCAGGGTGGGCAGCACTGGTGCCGATCCTGGCCAGGACGGACCTCCATCCAGACTGGCCCCTATTCCTGAGCAGGAGCCTGTGTGTGGCATGTGTGTGACTCAGGGAAGTCTCCCACCAGCTCCTCTGAGACAGGGTCACAGGAGTTTTATTAAATTAGGAAGACGGGCCTCAGGGTACTCTTGGCCCCTGTGCATAGCCCTCCAGAGGTAGGCCTTGTCTTGCACAGGGAAGCTGTCCTCACTAGGCACTGCTGGGTCATTTCCTCCAAGAAGACAAGGACCTGGCAAGTGGAGGAGATAATGAGCTGTTCAGAGATGGATTGGGGACTCCCTGGGAAGATGCCAGACACCACATTCCCGCCTCTGCCTAGTCTCATTACCGGCCTCTCTCCAGGGGCCCAGCGGGCAGACAGGCTGACCTCCCAGTTTCAGTCTCAAACACGGGCTAGGCAGAGAGATGGAAGATGGGTCACATGACCTCTGACTCATGTGATTCAGCTCCATGGGGAGGCCTGGGTTTGGGTAGGAATCTTGGGAACCTGGACTCCAGGTTCCTTGTTCCTTGCGAATGGGAGGTGGATGCCAGGAGACTGGAATGGGTCCACGACTGGGGCTAAGCCCCTTGAGTCTTGGACTCTTATCTTGCCCCCAGTGGGCTTCTCCAGGCCAGGCTGACCATTCCACTTACAGCCAGGACAGACCCTTGTCCAGGTGCTCAGGGGCTGGAATCTTCCCTGGATCTGACCTTGGACTGAGGCTCAGAAAGAGGATGGATGGGACTAGAGTCTGTCCTTTTCTAAGTTGCCAATGTCTCTGCCCTGGCCGAGGGGCCTGGCTACAGTGACTGCATGGGGCCACCAGGGAGCAGCCACAGCTCAACATTGGGTCTCAGAACAGGTTTGGTAGGTAGGTCTCTAGTGTGACCATCCTGGCCCAGGCCTTGCTCTTTTGGAGTGTGGGGTGGGACCTGTCTCTAACTTTGACTCCGAGACTGGTGCTATTCTGGGAGGCAGCACAGTGCAGGGATGTGCTTTGGACTCCTGGGATCTAGAAGGCAGGAGGAGGAGGAGGGAACAGCCCTGTACCAAGCACCTGTTGTGTTTCAGCGCCTGTGCTCTATGCACTATCTCCTGGCAGAGGCTCCGAGAGGGGAGGCAACTGGCCCAAGGTCACACAGCTCTCCTGGGTCTGGGCTGAGGTCCATTTCCACTGCCCTGCTTTGGAGAGGTCTCCCTCCTGCACTCCTCTCCTTATTCCAACGCTGCTCTCTCTCATAAGTGGCCCGACTTGTTCTCTGGGGAAGAGGAACTGAACTGTCAGGAGTGTAATGTACTTTTGCTTGGAATCACGAGCCATTAGGGCCTCAGCCTTAATGAATTTTGGCAATGTCAGCAGTGTTGGGTGGATTAGGAAACTCTGCTGGTCTTTGTCACAGGATTCCTAGAAATGGGACGTCTGGAGAGGTTTGTCCACATATTATTTGAGATTGGGTTGGGGGGTGGTGGCTGAGGAGCTCAAAGCTAGACCTGCTGAGGGGAGGGGAGCAGCTCCTAGAGAGGGAGGGCCTCTTGTAAAAGAAGGTACCTCTGAACTGGCCTTGAAGACTGGTGCACATGGGGTATGTGGGACTTGGAGTGGGGATGGGTTGAATTGTTGGGGAAGGAGGACAGGCCTTCAAGAGTCAACCCAAGTCTGGGCCTAATTTCAAGGGACCACAGGGAGCCCTGGGAGAGAAAGCTGTGGCAAGTCCGAGAGCATTGTGAATGGAAAGGTGGCTGAGAGGAGAGATGGGGGAAGGTCTGGGAGTGGGTGGTGGGTGGGATGTCTGTCTCTTCCATCTCCTTACCCACTCTACAAAGCACTCAGCAGCTACCAAGAGCCTCTGGTCCGCAGGAGACCCCTGGGCTCCACAGGAAATCACTGGGGTAGGGGCGGGGAAGATGGGCCCTAACTCCTCCCCTCTTCCCTCTGAGCTGGATTGGAAGGAGGGCCTGAAGCTGAGGTCTTCTGTCCTGGCCCCATGCTCTGGTGGCTCCCAGGCCCCCTGACCACAGCTGTTTGTTGTGGAAAAGCATGGATGTGGATGCCAGCTGGGTGGAGCTGAGGCTCCCATCTAAAAGCCGTGGAGCTTTGAATTTCTAAGGTTTCTGATCCTCGATGTTCTCATCATCTGTACTTTGGAGATATTAATAGTACTGACATGCCTCACTTTATTGTGCTTCACAGATATTGTGTTCTTTACAAAGTAAAGACAGCCTCCACCAACAAAAAGATTACAATTCGCTTTATTGTATTGGTTTGGAACCAAATTCACAATGCCTCCGAGGTATGCCTGTACCTACGAGTGGGAGGATAAATGAGCCAATAAGTGGAAGTACTTAGCACTATCCCTCAATAATCCCCTTCCCAAATATGTCTGGGGGACATCATGGCATCCAGAATCCTCTCCAGGCCCCATATATTGTCATTCAATGAGCATTTTTTGAACATCTACTGTGTGTAGAGCTTTACTGAACACTGAGTGGGAGCAGATGAGTAAATGGTGTGGGGGAAGGAGGGAGCCCTTCTGTTGGGGAGTATTGATCAGGAAAGACTCCACGGATGAGGTGAGGCTGGAAAACAAGTGTATGACTGTAGATGGAGTTGGGGAGAAGGCATCTCCAGGAGAGGGAATGGCAGAGCCAAAAGCGAAGTGATGTCACGGCAGTGAGCAGCCTGTTGCAGTTGGTGCTTAGTGCCCAGGGAGCCCTCCAGCCCCCAGCCCCCATGCCTCGGTGTTGGGACTTTTACCTGTATTATCGATTTCTTAACATACGACCAGAGCCCAGTCACATGGGCTCCTTGAAGTCTTCCCCCCACTAGAAAAATGAATAGTTTCCATTCCTTTCACCAGCTCTGTGACCTAAGTGACCCAAACCCTGATCTTGAGAATGTCTGTCTGTCTGTCTGTCTGTCTGTCTCTTACATGTAAGTACAGCTTGCATGAACCTCCCACTCTCTCTTCCAATATGACATCTCCTTCAGGAAGCCCTACTGGATTGCTCTTTGTTCCTACTATACGGAGTGCACTTAAGGTGTGTGTGTGTCTGTCCAGGTCACTTGCACCCAGCTAGGAACTGGCCCAGGAAAGATCTGTCAGGGACAGTTTCCTGGTCATCCCCAGCTGGTCCAGCCCTAGTGTGTCCCCTCTCCCATGCACTTTCAGCCTGTGGAAATGTATGCACTTTCTCTGCTCTAGTTACAGCTCCTATTACTGTATTTATCACCCTGGAGACACAGTGGTACAGACACACACGGCACACACACTTTCCCTGCGCACACGTGTCTGCACACCTCAGCTGCACTCACACACACACGCACACTCTGCACGTGTATGTACTCCCACACACACAAAGCTCTCTAGGAAAATTGTCCCTATCCTTCCTGCTGCTCCTCCTCCACTCTGTCCTCCCACCACCACCCACCTCCAAACACTGAGACCAAAGAGATGGGCTGGACGGCGCCTCCCACCACCTGTCAGCCTGGGAGGCACTTCCCCCTCCTTGACTATAGTGTGTTCTCCTTCCTCACCGCCTGCCTTTCCCCTCCAGCCTGTCTCCCCAGCGTTCTGCCCGTCCCCACTCTGTGCCACTTTCTGTATATCTCTTCCTCCACCTTGGTCACTCTGAGTCCTCTCTCTGCCGCTCTGTTGCCCCTCTGAGGTGTTCCTCCTTGTTCTCCCTCCTCAGGGGCTCAGGGACCTCACAGGGGCTGATGGACACAGAGGGGCAGGCAGAGGGGTCCTGTCACTTTCTGTTACTCCTCCTGAGCGAAGGGAAGGCTGTGTGCCTGGCACCATGGAGACCAGTGTCATGGTAACACAGCCCGGGTGGGCACAGCCTTCCTTCTCCTACGAGGAGCCCCGTAGTCCCCTCCACAGGTCTCGAGGAGGTGGGCCTTGTGCTGCTGCCCAGCACTGGCTGCCACGCCTGCCTCCAGTTCCTATCACCACCTCGGGCAGAACACCCCCACCCTGACCAATTCTACTTGCACCGTAGCTCCTAATGCCTTAACTCACTAAAGGGGGAGAGGGGGCGAATCCTCTCCAAACACCCGAGGGCTCATTTATAGACCAAGGGCCAGAGAGAGCAGAGGCTTGTCCAGGGGCACACAGCAAGTATGGACTGGCTCAGAGAGGTCAGTCCACCCTGGGACCCTGCTCCCTGGGAGGTCTCTAGCCAGTCCTTAGTGTCATAATAATAATAATGGTGCAAATGGTCATGTTGATAAGCCATCTGGAAGCACCCACCACATACTACTGGGCTAAGGCTTTGCATGTGTCATCGTTTCATCCTTATAACCAACCCTATGAGGGAGATACTCCTTTTGTTTCCACTTTATAGATGAGGGAAACTGAGGCACGGACTTCCCACTGTCAGCTGACCAATAAATCGTGCGGTTGGGCCAGGAACACAGGTCCTCCCCAGATGCTGCGGGTGAGCCAAGGCTTCAGGCCTGGTGCCCTCCCCCGCAGGCAGTCTTTTTCTATGTGAGAGGCAAATCGTCTTTCAGCTCTGTCATTCCTTCTGGAGGGAGTTCACGGGGAGGGGAGGTCTGGGGCTCAGCCTCGGTCTGGCCTTAGGGTTTCTGGAAGCCAGGAGGTTATTTTTCTAAGAAGACGAAGGGGGAACAGGCCTTCCTAGTGGTTAGTCCTAAGGAAGGCCTCCCTTGCAGTCTGGCCAGGCAGAAACTAGCTCATAACCTCCAGGACCTTTTGGGACCGTGTCTAAGCCCAGGCTGGAGCCTGGGGGTGGAACAA